GGGGAGTAGAAATAACAATTTGTAAATAGATACGAGGTACATTAGCCGTAGATTGAGCAGGGTGTCATTAAAGTTCGCGTAATCTCGCTGACACTTTAATTTCTACATGTCCAAAATTCCTCCGCTTTCAACTAATATTTGTGTGTTGGCTTGACAAGATAGGGCAGCCATTACGATAAACACAGCGAGAGCACATACGTTTGTTAAACCGACCATTCTTAGAACTTTATAAAGAAATTGCGGTTAGATTAGAGGATGTGTCCTGCGACATTAGGTCTATTGTGCCTTCAGCCCTAGTGCTCTGATGAATCCCAGAAGTTTCCGAGGGCGGTAGAGAGTAAATATGAGTTAACTCTGGCCACATCCTTCCCAGGTGTATTAGCCTTCTCGCATTCTATGGGCAGAGGCAGTGGGGGTTCTGGTGGCATATGGCAGTACCGACACAACTCGTCTGCACTAATCCCCAGCGTATCCCTATTACAAATCTAAGGTTAGTCTTTTGAAAGGCTATTAGTTCCCAAGATCTTTTGTTCTAATTCTAATTTTTAATTTTCCTTACAATTAAAATTTGCCCAACGCTGATTCAAATTAGGTGGTAAATCAGTAACTCTAAGTTATTCACCAATAAATATAAAACAAAGCGGAGAATATATCATTGATTGACCTTTGATACTTATATATTCATGGTCCTCCTTGTCTAATCCTTCTTCTTCTTATTTAGCGCTGTAACCGCCTAAGTGATTTTGGCCGAGTTCAACAAAGCACGGCAGTCGTTTTTCTTCTGTGCAAACTCACGCCAATTGGAAATGCCAAGTGAAGCCAAGTTCTTCTCCACCTGGTCTTTCCATGGCAGTAGGGGCCTCCCTCTTCCTCTGCTACTAGCCACAACTACCAGCGGGTTCCGAGTTGAATACTTTCAGAGCTGGAGCGTCGGTGTCCAAGCCAGCAAAGCCGCTGTATTTAAATTCGCTGCACTATGTCCATGTCGTTGTAAAGCTCATACACCTCATCATTCCA